GAAATGGGAGTAACAACCAGAAAAACACTCAAAACCAGGTCCACCATCTCAATGAGGTGGGTATCCATGCAAGCCAGGCTACGCACTGCAGGGCTTTCACAAAAGTAGTGGTTAACCCTGTTAGGCCCACAATATGGCAGATTCATAGTAAAGAAAGTATGAAACAGAGAGAAGAAGAAACCACAGATCCACGTCCCAGCTGCCAACCATACGCATAGTCCCCAGTTGAGGATGACAGAATAACGCAGTGGGTGGCAAATGGCCACATATCTGTCATAAGCCATGACAACAAAGAATGTGCTCTCAGTAGTAGCCAGAGAACCAAACACATACATCTGCAGCCAGCAGCCAGCAAAGGAAATGGTCTGAGAGTGAGCAAGAAGATGCCCCAACATCTGGGGCATGGTGGTGGTGACATAGCACATATCTAACAGGGCAAGTATACAGAGGAAGAAGTACATGGGAGTGTGCAGCTGTGTGTCCAGGCAGATCAGCATGATGATGAGCCCATTGCCCAGGACTGAGCTCAGGTAGATGAGAAGGAACACAATGAAGAGGATGCTGTTGGTCGTGGGGTCACTGGAGAAGCCAAGCAGGATAAATTCAGAAACCCAGCTTTGATTCTGAACTGGAATCATCCACATGGTGGGGGCTGTATGAAAATCACGTTCATATATGTATCACTTCATAATTGACAGCAATAGAGGCAGACAGAGAAGACATATGATGGATTGATGGCTCCAAGTTTAGGAGCACTGACTGCTGCTGTTCCGGGGACCAAACAGCTAACAGCTGCCTCTGCTTCCAGTTCCAAGAAACCTGACTCCCTCTTCTGCCTCCACATTCCAGGATTACACATGATGCACAGACATGCAGATAGGCAAAAACCCATATACACAAAATAAAAAAATAAGACATTTTAAATAAGAAAAGAAAGGCTGGGGTCTGGATTGTGAGCACACTGTTCAGTTTCCATGCACACTTCTCAAGCTACTGAACCTCAATCTCTTCATCTATCAAATGAGGCTGATGACAATCATGTCTCAGGATTGTGATGAATATCTAAAGCATCTCACAGAACTCCTGGAGACACCATGTAACACATGAGATGTCACATGAAGTTTCACATTCTCATTCCATTCCTGGGAAGGCAGAGAAAGGGGATCCCCAGAATAAGAGGGCTAGTTACACTTGCTCATAGAATCCCTCTTCTCTCTCTTTGACTGGACTCCTGGAGCTTTTCCATGGTGTTTTCTGTGGATCTCTGCATCTGCTTCCTTCAGCCACTATAGAAAAGCTCTGTGATGACAGTTAGGGTATCACTGATCTGATCACTGGGGCAAGCCAGTTCAGTTCAGGCCCCCTCTCTACTATTTCTAGTAGTCCAAGCTGGGGTCATCCTTGGGGATTCCTGGCAACTTCCCTAGCACCGGGTTTCTCTCTATCCCCATGATGTCTCCCTCTATAATGGTATCTCTTTCATTGCTTTCCCACTCCACCCCTGTTCCAGCTCTGCCATCCCATTCTCTTATATTCTCATCCCCTATCCCCTACTCTCCATAAACATCTGTGGAGCCTGCATGGGACTGGACTAGGCCTTCTGCATTGTGAGATAGTTGTGTAGCTTGATCTGCTTCAGGGGTCTCCCTGGTGGTAGAATCAGAATCCATCCCTGGTGCATGAGCAGGCTTTTTGAAGCCCACTACCTATGATGGGACACCATGTGCAGCCTTGAGGCGGGGGAAGGGCTTGGACTTGCCTCTACTGGATGAGCCTCCCCATGGGAGGTCCTGTCTTCTTGTAGGGGGGGAGTGGGGATGGGTTGGGAGGGGGGTCGTGGGGGACAGGAGGAGGGAAGAGGGGGATCTTTGATTGGTGTGTAAAATGAATGAAAAAATTTTCTTAATAAAAAGAAGA